AGGATAGGTGGAAGTAGGTGATTCTAGTTTCCCTCCCAATTCCCCTTTAGTCAGCTATATTATTTAGCCAGAGTATTTTGTATGTCGTGAGCAAGGCTCACCTATGTCACAGTAAGGCACCAGTGTGCAGAGTGGGACTATATAGAGTACTCACGAAATTTATTACTATTATTGGTGTGTGCAGGCACCCGGAGTAATTGATGAATTTACTGTGTTGATAATGTCTTTCATGAGACTTTAATATGATCAGTTATTGAGAGAGTATATATATATAAATATGCCAGTATTTGGAGTTAGGCTATGTGCCCAGTAACTATGTTATTACCATTATTGATGTCTATGATTCATCCATATATATATATATATAAGTCTATGCTTGTGTATTGAATAATCATTCATGTGTGCAGTGATTAATTGTGTTATCGCCCGAGAAAGGAATTACTGAGAACTCCAGTGATATATACTTGCATACGTTATCATTAAATGAAGGGCAGTGTGTTATACCATGATAGTGAATTATTGTGTCCATTAATATAGAAATGTTTGATTGAGCTCAAGATCAGTGCAGCGAAGTATTTACGTGCTATTGTCGCAAATATTGTGTGTTCGAACTTCTAGTGATCTTTGAGAATTTAAAGAAACAGGCGCATCACGCCACCGGCAAACAAATACACGAACATTCGCGCGGTGGGAGTCGCCTAGCTGATTTTGACATTGACGTGAGGGGGAGCATTGCCAGCTTGGCGAGTTCATGATTATATGTGGGACCGAGCGACTTCCGCCTGAAACAGCTGTTTGCTTATTGATATAATCTTGTGATGTCTTTGAATGAGTTTTAAGTAAAATACAAAGTACACTGGTGTTTATATCATCCCCTCCATATTTCTTGTGGCTATATAATACCTGAAAGCAAATAATGATAGAAGTAAATACCTGCCTGATATCAGATCTATTGAGTGTGTCCTTGCCACTGTTACCACAATTCAACAAAACCACTGACGTGTTACTGGACACCGGAAACACCAGTTGGCGACCTTGTGGTTAGTAGTAGAGACCATGCCGGGGCGGGCACACAATAGTTAAGAGAACAAGTTGTGTTCCCACTCCTTCTCGATCAGAGGCCGGTTGGGATTGACTGGGATACTCTCCTGGCGTACAGTGGCGCCGCGAGGATAGAGTGAAGACCCGCAGGGCTACGGTGAGTGACCTTGAGTATACTGTTACTCGCCCCTCTTCCCCTCTCATTGGAGGTGAACCCCGACAATATATATATATATATATATATATATATATATATATATATATATATATATATATATATATATATATATATATATATATATATATATATATATATATATGTCGTACCTAATAGCCAGAACTCACTTCTTGGCCTACTATGCAAGGCCCGATTTGCATAATATGCCAAGTTTTCATGAATTAATATTTTTTCGACTACCCAACCTAACTTAACCTAACTTTTTCTGCTACCTAACCCAACCTAACCTAAAAAGATAGGTTAGGTTAGGTTACGTAGGGTTGGTTAGTTTCGGTCATATATCTACATTAATTTTAACATCAATAAAAAAAAAGACCTCATACATAATGAAATGGGTAGATTTATCATTTCATAAGAAAAAAATAGAGAAAATATATTAATTCATGAAAACTTGGCTTATTAGGCAAATTGGGCCTTTCATAGTAGGCCGAGAAGTGTGTTCTGGCTACTAGGTACGACATATATATATATATATATATATATATATATATATATATATAGAGATAGAGATATATATATATATATATATATATATATATATATATATATATATATATATATATATATATATATATATATATATATATATATATATATATATATATATATATATATATATATGTCGTACCTAGTAGCCAGAACTCACTTCTCAGCCTACTATGCAAGGCCCGATTTGCCTAACAAGCCAAGTTTTCATGAATTAATTGTTTTTCGACTACCTAACCTACCTAACCTAACCTAACCTAACTTTTTCTGCTACCTAACCTAACCTAACCTATAGAGATAGGTTAGGTTACGTTAGGTAGGGTTGGTTAGGTTTGGTCATATATCTAGGTTAATTTTAACTCCAATAAAAAGAATTGATTTCATATATAATGAAATATGTAGCTTTATCATTTCATAAGAAAAAAATTAGAGAAAATATATTAATTCAGGAAAACTTGGCTTATTAGGCAAATCGGGCCTTGCATAGTAGGCTGAGAAGTGCGTTCTGGCTACTAGGTACGACATATATATATATATGTCGTACCTAGTAGCCAGAACGCACTTCTCAGCCTACTATGCAAGGCCCGATTTGCCTAATAAGCCAAGTTTTCATGAATTAATATATTTTCTCTATTTTTTTTCTTATGAAATGATAAAGCTACCCATTTCATTATGTATGAGGTCAATTTTTTTTATTGGAGTTAAAATTAACGTATATATATGACCGAACCTAACCAACCCTACCTAACCTAACCTATCTTTACAGGTTAGGTTAGGTAGCCGAGAAAGTTAGGTTAGGTTAGGTTAGGTTAGGTTAGGTTAGGTAGCCGAGAAAGTTAGGTTAGGTTAGGTTAGGTTATATATAATATATATATATATATATATATATATATATATATATATATATATATATATATATATATATATATATATATATATGTCGTACCTAGTAGCCAGAAAGCACTTCTCAGCCTACTATGCAAGGCCCGATTTGTCTAATAAGCCAAGTTTTCATGAATTAATGTTTTTTCGACGACCTAACCTACCTAACCTAACCTAACCTAACTTTCTCGGCTACCTAACCTAACCTAACCTATAAAGATAGGTTAGGTTAGGTTAGGTACGGTTGGTTAGGTTCGGTCATATATCTACGTTGATTTTAACTCCAATAAAAAAACATTGACCTCATACATAATGAAATCGGTAGCTTTATCATTTCATAAGAAAAAAATTAGAGAAAATATATTAATTCATGAAAACTTGGCTTATTAGGCAAATCGGGCCCTGCATAGTAGGCTGAGAAGTGCGTTCTGGCTACTAGGTACGACATATATATATATATATATATATATATATATATATATATATATATATATATATGTCGTACCTAATAGCCAGAACGCACTTCTCAGCCTACTATGCAAGGCCCGATTTGCCTAATAAGCCAACTTTTCCTGAATTAATATATTTTCTCTAATTTTTTCTTATGAAATGATAAAGCTACCCATTTCATTATGTATGAGGTCAATTTTTTTTTATTGGAGTTAAAATTAACGTAGATATATGACCAAACCTAACCAACCCGACCTAACCTAACCTAACCTATCTCTATAGGTTAGGTTAGGTTAGGTAGCCGAAAAAGTTAGGTTAGGTTAGGTTAGGTAGGTTAGGTAGTCGAAAAACAATTAATTCATGAAAAGTTGGCTTATTAGGCAAATTGGGCCTTGCATAGTAGGCTGAGAAGTGCGTTCTGGCTACTAGGTACGACATATATATATATATATATATATATATATATATATATATATATATATATATATATATATATATATATGTCGTACCTAGTAGCCAGAACTCACTTCTCAGCCTACTATGCATGGCCCGATTTGCCTAATAAGCCAAGTTTTCATGAATTAATATATTTTCTCTAAATTTTTTCTTTTGAAATGATAAAGCTACCCATTTCATTATGTATGAGGTCAATTTTTTTTCATTGGAGCTAAAATTAACGTAGATATATGACCGAACCTAACCAACCCTACCTAACCTAACCTACCCTATCTCTATAGGTTAGGTTGGGTTATGTAGCCGAAAAACTTAGGTTAGGTTAGGTTAGGTAGGTTAGGTAGTCGAAAAACAATTAATTCATGAAAACTTGGCTTATTAGGCAAATTGGGCCTTGTATAGTAGGCTGAGAAGTGAGTTCTGGCTACTAGGTACGACATATATATATATATATATATATATATATATATGTCGTACCTAGTAGCCAGAACGCACTTCTCTGCCTACTATGCAAGGCCCGATTTGCCTAATAAGCCAAGTTTTCATGAATTAATTATTTTTCGAATACCTAACCTACCTAACCTAACCTAACCTAACTTTTTCGGCTACCTAACCTAACCTAACCTATAAAGATAGGTTTGGTTAGGTTAGGTAGGGATGGTTAGGTTCGGTCATATATCTACGTTAATTTTAAGTCCAATAAAAAAATATTGACCTCATACGTAATGAAATGGGTAGCTTTATCATTTCATAAGAAAAAAATTAGAGAAAATATATTAATTCAGGAAAACTTGGATTATTAGGCAAACCGAGCCTTGCATAGTAGGCTGAGAAGTGCATTCTGGCTACTAGGTACGACATATATATATATATATATATATATATATATATATATATATATATATATATATATATATATATATATGTCGTACCTAGTAGCCAGAACGCACTTCTCAGCCTACTATGCAAGGCCAAATTTGCCTAATAAGCCAAGTTTTCCTGAATTAATATATTTTCTATAATTTTTTTCTTATGAAATGATAAAGCTACCCATTTCATTATGTATGAGGTCAATTTTTTTTATTGGAGTTAGAATTAACGTAGATATATGACCGAACCTAACCAACCCTACCTAACCTAACCTAACCTATCTTTATAGGTTAGGTTAGGTTAGGTTAGGTAGCCGAAAAAGTTAGGTTAGGTTAGGTAGGTTAGGTAGTCGAAAAACAATTAATTCATGAAAACTTGGCTTATTAGGTAAATCGGGCCTTGCATAGTAGGCTGAAAAGTGCGTTCTGGCTACTAGGTACGACATATATATATATATATATATATATATATATATATATATATATATATATATATATATATATATATATATATATATTTATATATATATATATGCCTACTTTTTGTAATATATAATGAAAAGTTAGTAAGGCATGTTTACCTGAAGAGTCTGCCCCATAGCTCCAGAGACTCGTGCCGTAGCTGGTGAAGATTATGGGCTGGTATTTTTCTGAACAATGAATCTCTTCTGATATATTTAATTGAGTTATTTTTAAAGTGTTCGTTGTCGACAAGTCACCAATCATATTGTGCGTGTTGGTGCTGCTGATGATGACTTCGTTCCAGGCATCACTAGTTACAGTCACAGTCCTCACCTTTCCTCCTGGCAGCTGAAGAGCGCTCGCTTTCTCCTGTGGTATGCCTTTCCAACTGTAATAGCACTGGAAGGCTTCCCCACAAATATTTATTGAAGCACTAACAGTATATTTGTGCTTACAATCTGTAAATATATTCGGGTAATTAATATTGTTTTAATGACACATAACGAATGACCAATAGTCATAAGTTATGGAACACTTATAACAATAACAGAGATTGTTTTATATAAAAAGTAACATACATACTTGAAACTTCAAAACACTTATCAGCTCGTGTGAGGCAGCCTCAATGTAACCTAAACTAAACTTGCTCATTCAAATGTCTAACCAACGAATGAAACAATCTAATGGTTCCCCGTCAATGACTTTACTTTGTAATTTGTTCTTCACAAACCAGTATTTACCCAGGTCAGAATATATATTCAGAATATATATTTTTTACAATTTATATCATTTGTGTCAAGTTATATTTTATTATTCTTTTTTATCCGTTTAAATATTTCAGTATTTTACCCGTTATTCCACGCCTTCATAAAATATAGAAGTTAAACACTCTGTCCTCTGTGTGGAGAATAAGTCACAATAAGGGGCTAAAAATTAGACACCAACCCACACATATTAGAGGAATGCAAATTTGCTTTGTCGGAGATTCGTAATTACCGGAATTAAAATTTTATGTACTCTACACGTTCAGCAGAATTTATGGGCATTTATAGCATAGTGACTAAAACTGCACTGTGTAATATATACGGGTCCTAACAAGTGCAAGATAACGCTGGAAAACAACCTTAGGTACTCCACTGTGACACTGCTTTGAAATGAATTTTAGAAACCAGTTTCAAGTATTTTGATAATATGAAAGAATCTCGGAACATAAGAATTAGAGAAACTGCAGTAGACTGGAAGACGAGTGCTGTGGTGAGCCTGCAGTTCACTCGAAAGGTAATCAACGAAGAGCAACGAAGTGCAGGTCCTTCAAAGTGCTCAGAAAATAAAGGAGGCACCTAAGCGAATTTTGGTTGTGGGAGATTCCCAGGTGAGGTATTTTGACAGAACGTTTTGTGTTAGAGATAGGGGGAACAGGTTAAGGGTCTGCTATCCAGGAGCTTGAATTGGTGATATTATAAACAACATGAATGATATTAAGGCTGGAAATGGGAATAATCCCATTATTTGTATTAGCGCAGGAGGAAATCATGTTGGTCGAGTTAGGAGTGAGGAACTTATTCAGAGGTATAAAATAGCCATAGAATTAGTTAGGAGTAGGGGAGGAATCCCGATCATATGGGGCATTCTTCCAAGAAATGGAGTTGGAAATGAATGGTTGTCAAGAGTACTTGGTGTCCATTGCCGGCTGGAAAGATATTGCAAATCAAATGCAATATCTTTCATAGATAACTGTGAACACTTCTATGAAAGATATGAAATGTAGGCTCGGGATGGGATGCATTTATCGAGGGTTGGGGTTGTTGTTGTTGTTGCGAACTCGTTGGAACCAGTGGTTGGAGGCGTTTGTTTGGGTTTAAACTGTTAGTAGATAGTGGTATGGAAATTGCTATGGAGGAAGGAGGTAATAAAAGTATGTGTCTGTGGGAGAAAAAACTGGCAAAATGATCAGGGGAAAGAGAAGGGCCTCAAAATAACAATACACTTAGGGTATATTACACTAACAGTAGAAGTCTAAGAAACAAAATAAACGAATTAAATGCTCTTGTCTGTACAGAAAAAATAGATATTATTGCACTTACCGAAACGTGGATGAATGTAGAAAATAGAGAACTATTAGCTGAATATCAAATGAATAGATTTAAACTATTTCACACAGATAGATATATTAGACGAGGAGGGGGAGTAGCCATATATGTTAGGGACAATTTGAAATGTAGTCTCAAAGAGGGAATCAAAATTGAGCCACACACAGAAACTATTTGGATAGAATTAAACGAAAAAGCCAATAATCTTATAATAGGAGTTATATATAGGCCACCAAATTTTGACAGAATGGAAGCAAAGCATCTATGGGATGAAATGTCTAGAGCATCTAGGTCTAAAAGTATTTGTGTCATGGGTGACTTTAGTTTTAGTGGAATAAACTGGATTAACAGAACAGGGAATAACGAAGCAGAACATTTTATAGAATTAATTGACGATTGCTTTCTTACGCAACAAATTAAGGAACCAACGCGGGAAAATAGTATTTTAGATTTAGTGTTAACTAACAGGGAAACACAGATTAATGACATCGAAATTAGGAGTGAACTAGGGAACAGTGATCACAAAGAAATCAGATTTAGCATAGAGTGGAATAGATCTGGAGGAGAAAATTCTGTTAAAATGCCAGATTTCGTAAAGCTAATTTTAATATCCTAAGAATTTTGGGGGGGCAAATAGATTGGAAAGTCTTGGGCATAGGGGGGTTGGCCGGTCTTGGAGCAAGACGCGATCCCAGCGATGTGTGATGTAAAGGAGGATTTCGATTTGGATTCAAAATATGACTTATTTAAAAATATTCTAAGCAAAGCACAGGAAGGCAGTATACCTTATAAATTGAAAAGATCAAATAAAAATGACCCAAAATGCATAACAAAGGATCTGAAAAACCTTATAGAAAGAAAGAGAGCTTGGTACAAAAGGGTTAAGAGTGGTGAAGTCAGTTTAGAACAAGAATTCGCACAACTCGTTAGAAATGATAAAAAAGAGATAAGGAGAGCAAAAAGAAACTATGAAGTTCGTATAGCAGGCCAAGCAAAGACTAATCCTAATGATTTTTTTCAGTTATATCGAACAAAGGTTAGGGAAAGGATAGGTCCATTAAAAACCGAGACAAGTCAGATAACGGATAATGACGAAGAGATGAGTAGTATTTTTAATAAACATTTTATCTCTGTATTTACTAAAGAAGAACTTAACTCTATACCTTCAGTCGAACAAGTCTATGTGGGTGGGGACGAGGACAGGTTGACTAGTCTAACAGTTATCAGGGATGATATTATTAAACAAATAGTAAAATTCAAACCGAATAAATCCCCAGGGCCGGATGAAGTGTTTGCCAGGGTGCTTAAAGAATACACAGAGGAGCTTTGCGATCCATTGTCTACCATATTTAATAAATCACTGGAGTCAGGCAGAGTGCCAGAGTCGTAGAAGGTTGTTAATGTGGTACCAATTTTTAAGAACTGATAAGAATTTTAAATTAGAATTAAATAAAAAAATAAGAAAGTTAAGAATTTTAGTTAAGATAGATCACTTGCATCAAACTATCGGCCAATTAGCCTAACGTCTATTGTGGGAAAATTACTTGAATCGATAATTGCAAATACCATTCGTTTTCATCTTGAAAAACATAAATTAATAAACGAGTCACAACATGGTTTTACAAATTTCCCACAACCTAAATTCGCTTCGGTTCCTCCTTAACTTTCTGAACACCCTGAGGGGCCTGTGCTCCGCCGCTCCTCGCTGATTTCCGTTCCGAGTGAACTGCAGGCTCACCACAGCACTCGTCCTCCAACACGGCAAATGAATTTGCTGTCCTTAGGGCGTCTGTAGGCGGCCTTGTCAAGGTCTTCTTAAGACCCCCTGTCCTTAACGACTTTCCACGACGAGGTCTTGTTAATATTGGTCTCCTCCTTTGTTTCTTCCCGATGTTTCAGCTGTCGTACCTCCTCACGTAGGGAATCCATCTCTGCTCTCAGAGTTCCAACTAGATTCATCAAATCCTTCACTAATCCTTCCATTATTGCAATAATAATATTACTACAATCGGAGCTCCAGCTAACACAACCTTTCACTGTGACTGTACCTGGTTGTCTTGTAGTAGTTTTGAATATAGATTGAATATAGATAGTCTTGTAGTAGTTTTGTATCTTATTTCGAATATATTTCTCACTCTATTTTTATAGTCTGCAAATTTGCAAATTTTCCAGGTTCAGTCCTGAGTCTTAATCGTTTATGTATACAATAAACAACAGAGTTCCCAAAAGAGAGCCCTGGAGCACCCCACTTACAACAGTAAGTAACATGGATATAATTCATATACACTAACTATGCTTTCTCTGAAATAACCAGATTCTAATCCAACTTAGGATACCCCCTTCCCCAAATACCTCCAAATTTTGGTTCATAATTAAAGTTTTAATTAGTCCAGTTTTAATATGACTCGTTAGTACAGTATCAACCAACTTTCAAACCTGAAGAAATAGTTTGTCGTAATCTTTATCATCAACTGCTTAAATTAGACAATGAATAATGGGAGTAAGTTTGCTAAACATAAGAGCATATTAATACAAACATCGTTTTTATTAATCGATGTGAATCGTTTATTAATGTGTTTCTCAAGATGAAAACGAATGGCCTTTGCAATATCCAATTCAAACAATTTAAACCCTATAGTAAATAGACAATAGTTTGATGCACGTTATCTGTCGCCCTTTTTAAAAATCGGCGCCACATTACGAACCCTCCACGACTCCGGTACCCTTCTTGATTGTAATGATTTAATTAGTTTGGAAGATAAGGGCTCGCTAAGCTCTTCTTTACATTCAAATTTCTCTTGAAATCCACAGGCATGAGTAGGTGGTAGATGGTAGAGGAAATCCACCTACGGGTAGGTGGTCTACCCGTAGGTGGTAGACGTTTGGAGTGAATGTGGTCCTTGGTCGTATGACATCTTGAAGTGTCTCTGGGCCTGTCTTTAACCACAGAGAAAAGATTTGACTGATAAAGATTAAGCCACCCAAGAGAAGAGACATCAGTTGTTTTAGATATACCTACTCAGAAAGAAATTTCCATGCAGCATGGGCTATAATGAGCCCGTAATGAAGGAGACAGGCGTTGTTGTTGTTTTAGATTCAGCTACTTGGAACAAAAAGTTTCATTCAGCACGGGCTAAAGTGAGCCCGTAGTTGACTTACCTGGCACAGGAGCGGGGCTGTGTGGAGACAGGAGTTGTTGTTGTTTTAGATTCAGCTACTTGGAACAAAACGTTTCAGGTAGCATTGGGTATGGTGAGCCCGTAGTAGACTTACCTGGCACAGGAGGGGGGGGAGGGCTGTAACTCTGGTTTCCCTTCAAAACGCATAAATCTTTTGAGACAGGATTATTGTTGTTGTTTTAGGTGCAA